CGCACGGAAGCGACAAGTTGACGCCACCGCGTCTGCTGGCCGCGCGGGCAGGTGTGACGGTGTGACGGCCTCCTCAGGGCCACGCCACCGCCGGGTCCACCCCCTTCCGCCGACGTGACCCCAACGCGGCCCTGCGCAGACGTTCAATACGTTTAAATATTTAATTGACCACGCGGCTGAAAATACAGGGTGGCCCACCACGGTAGGCAAGCGCGCCCGCACGGCTCCACGCGGTACGGTATAAGAAATTCCCCGCGGGGCCTGTGCCGCACAGGAGGGGGCCACCCTATTATTGCCGATTGACCGGCAAAAGGTGCGCGCCAGCTGCTCTGACTGCAAAACGTACAAAAACGCTCGCAAAAAAAAAGTCTCTCGTTCTCGCCTGCTCGACAACACAACACACCGGGTCACGTGTCTCGTCATGAGTTGAGTCGCGTGCCGCGGCCGCGGGCCACCTTATCGGCCGGGCCGCGGGCCCATCACAGACGGGCCGAGGAGGGGTCCATAACAACTTTCGGATATTCACCACGGGCCAAACAAAAGTTTATAGTATTTCATTACTTTTTTGTCGATACTCGCTTATCTTCACGTTTATTCATTTATATTCATTAAACTCACAGGAATTCACTCAACATATTGTAGTGTTCACCACTACTTATTCACAAACAAATTATTCACGAATTTTTAACTTTTAAATATATTAAACGGGGTCGCGAAATTTCCAAGTTGTGGACCCCTCGGCGAGTCAGGCGGGGGCGGGGGCGAAAGGCTCAAATAATCCCCCGGCAGATAGCCTTGTGGGCTCGCGGAGCCTCGCGGAGCAGGGAGCGCCTCGCCCCCGGGCCCGGGATGGCATTGACGCCCGATGGATGGATGGCGCTTGTTATCGGGAGTGTGCTGCCCGCCCACGCTAAGCCGAAAAAAAACAAGACTTTATTATCCGACCCATTACTTAGCGCTCGTGATTGAACCTTGAATTACTTTTTGTTGTCTCATTGTCATGATTCATGGCCATGTCACGATGTGCCTATTTTTGCTTCCCAGTTGTTGTTTTGTAATATATTTTTTTTTTATATGTGGGAGGAGGGCATATCGTCTAAGCGGGTCTGTTCCACGCGGTGCCGTGCAGCGCTCTCCGAGCCCGTCGTGGCCTGTCAGCTCAAATGTGTACGCTCGCTCTCTTCTCTCCCTCTCTCGCTCTCTTCCGCCGGCACGATGCGTCGTCGTATATTCAATTAGAAAACAAGCTCGGGGAGGAGGATGGGGACGGGCGCTCACGGCGGGAGAGAGGGAGATGGCAGTGATGGCACAACCGAGAGAATAAGATGTGGAAGTCGGCGGCGATGGAGATCACAAGGCGTAAGCTGGAAACAACAGCGCCAGGTCGAGTTCGGGCCAGAAAGTTGGGGCCTCTTATATTGGTGACAAAAGCAGAGAAGTCTGCCCGACCAGCGAGCAGGTGCGGCAGCCCGGCCGAAAATTAAGCCGATACTAAGGTGTCCGTCAGGCTATCACGCCGAGATGACGGGCGGGAGTCGGACGGTGCCCATATGCCGTATCAAAACTAGGTATTAGCTGGTATGGCTAAACGTGTTGGCTCTCTGTCGGACAGACAATAACAAGCTGCAGTAGCTCATATAATTGGTTGTGAAAGCGAAACTTCATTGTTATTGTATCAAAAGAATTTTTGGGTGTCCTGTAACTTATTTTCAAAGTCTTACAGAAGTCCTACCGAGGAAGCCACTTCTCCCGAAATCGTACAGAAGTTATACCAGGTGGCTGATTCACGCCGCGCCTTTCTGTTGTTATGCTGTACCGCATGCACGGGTGCGGTCGGGTTGCCTACTCGCTCGGCTCGTAAGGCGCCGTGGACAGGGGCGATAGGCAAGCCCGCCCGCACTCGTGCATGCGGTACGGCATAACTACAGAAGTGCGTGGCGTGAATCAGCCGCCTGGTACAGATGTCGAACAGAAGGGCTGCAGAAGGTCTATAGAAGGCCTGCAGTAGATCTACGCACACATGGCTAACAGGCAGATCTCAAGAGATCCTTTGCAATCAGTGGAATTCGATTCGGTATTGCCGAGCCGTGAGAAAGGTGCGGCTCGGGAGGCAGCGGAAAGAATCCGTGCTGAGGGAAAGCCCAATAATACCGATAACAAAATGAGCTCTCGCGCGGTCTGCTCTGGTCCCCCCCAGTCAGGTGCGGGTCGGCGGGGGGGAGTGGCGCATCCTCTCGATAATGTGTGTCAACGGCGTGAAGGCCGTTCGGACAGAAGCAAAAAAAAGGGGGGGGGGAAGAAATCACTCTACACGCACATTGCGCACTCGATAACTGAGGAAAACAGAGTAATGGTGTCACGCATTGTAGATTAAACTCTTTCTAACTATCGGTTGATCACGTATCACGAGTTTTTTGTTGTTGTTTTTGATTTTTTGTTAGAGAACATCACAAATATTCTTCGCTAGAAGGAAAAAAAAGTCAGAAAAAATACCACACAGACGAGGGAACATTAAGTAAGACCACACAAATTCATTCACAATGTGGGTAAAGAGGGGGGTGGGTTGTTAGGTTGGTATTACATAAACACTGACAAAGAACGGCGATAATATGATCCAAAGTCGATGCTGGAGCAGCGGCGGGCGTGTCGCGCGCCGTGTCGGAGCACTCTCTCATTACGACACGCCGGGGACGCCCAATTACTTGGCGGTGCCTGCGGTAATCAGCCGATAGATAGCGCCTCGGGAAGCCCTCGGGGAAATAGGTAACGGGGGCAGCTCTGGCGGGGCGTGGCGGGCGAGGGGGCGGCGGCGGCGCCAGGGCGGCGCGGACCAGCCCCGTCAAGTACGTCGCCGCCGAGCCTTTAGCGCGGTTCATGGCTGATGGCCCACGCTGATGGCCGACCGCCGGGGGAGGAAGGTCTTATTTCTTTTTCTCTCTGTCTTTTTTTGTGGCCATCGTTACAATTATCGCGCTCTTGGTACCGAACGTATGTTGTTATTCATTCATCATCACACCCACTCATCGCCACTCACTGCTCCCATTCATGTTTTTTCGCGTTGACAATCTGCAGTGTGGCGTGGACTCGGCACGCCCGTTTCGACCCTCTCTCCTCCCTCCCTACCTCCCCTCCCGCCTCGGCGCGTGCCGTCCGTGACGAGACGGCGAGACGAGACAAAGCGGGCGACAAAGTGTTATCGCCTCCGAACTGTGACCCGGTGACCCGCCAACCCGTCGGCCGCCACCAAATTACACGCTTTTCTTTCACACATTTACTTATATCGTACAAAAAAATCATAGCAAATTGTCTGTAGAAACTTTTAATTTTTATGAAAACGTTAAATGTGGTGTGATGTGAAAATAATTATTTGTTACTCTGAAAACTCAACAGTGTACATTGTATGCTGAAAACTCAGCGATCATTGATGATTGCTGTTGAGTTTTCAGAGTAATTTTTTGCGATACACGTACTGTTAGTTATTGACCCTATGCCTCGCCCTTTGCTGTACGAACTAGTCGTCAGATTCGAGAAATAATTATTCACCCAACAGTATGCAGTACAGAGTCAGCTTTGCGGCGGAGCGTGCTGATCTCTGGACGACGGCCTATTGTGCTCTTGTACTACGCCCGAGGGGCGGACAGACACGAGGCGGACTAGCGACTAGCCGGGACGAGCCGGGACGAGCCGGGACGAGCACGCTTCTCAGGGCGGGCCGAATCTCCCACCTTCAGAGCAGTACTCTGCTCTGAAGCTCCCACGCTTCACCCTAGTAGGGGCGGCCCTAGGCGACAGCGTGGTGCCGCATAAACTATAGCGTGCATTCCGAGCAAAGTGTTTTTGTTTTATTTTACTTTTATTTATACACTGCAAATACAATGTTGGTCACTGCTGCCTTGGCCGAGTCTGTTCAGATACGCAGTGGGGCTTTCCGCGAGCAAACGCTGCGCACACGGGGTGACACGGGGTCTGCTTGCCTGCACGTCTCGGTGCGTCACTGCGCGGGGCAGCGCGGGGCTGCACCAAAGTCATCCAGCAGATGCCGTACGATATACGAGTGTCTGCATGCATTCTCACAAAGCATGTTTCAAGATTAACTTTACAGGAGAAAGAAACCTCTGAGGAGCGATTAACCGTCGGAAAATAAAGCAACATGTCGAATACGCGGACCTAAAACTTGGTGCCGGTGTTTCTACTCCGGAGAAGCACATGCGCATTAAGAGTTTCATTCAGAATCATGTGACATGAACGTGACGTGGTCAAATAATTGTAACACTGCTCCGCCAATAAGTGTGTTTAAAACACCTCCCTTAGCAGTTTCCAGTGGAACACTTGCGATTCCAGTGCTATCATGGACCGCCAGCATTTGAATGCCCTCTCCCTCCTCCCTCCACCCGGCAGGGCGCAGGGCGGGCGCTCGGAGGGGCGGCGGGCGGCGGCCTATGCGGGCGGGTCGCTCGGCGCGGCGGCCATGGAGATGACCACCGAGGTCGAGAGCAGCGCGAGGCCGCCGGGGGGCTCGCCCGGGCTCGCCACGGGGCCCCCGAGCGGGGTCACCGGGGCACGGGGTCAGAGCCGTCCAGGACAGTAGCGGGCGGACCCGCCGACGACGCATTGTTATTACGTATCTGATGATGCGCGGGAGAGAGAGAGAGAGAGAGAGGGAGGGAAATTTTGCGCGCGGGGGAAATCATGACGCGTCTTTTCTTTTGTTGACCTCGTTTTCGCATCGTGTGCGTGCGTTCCGTTGCGCAAAATGCGAAAGGGAAATAAAGACAAAATAAAAAGGAAGAAGCGAAAGTGAAAATAACAAATATGCGAAACTTCTGCTGGCCAGCAAACAATTGTCTCGACCCGTTTATCGGGATGATGTGTGTCGTCTGGACCAGCAGCATACAGCATCCCGGCCTCATCCCGAACCCGACCCGACCCGCGCCCGCCGGAGATGGGCTCGCACGGACCGGTCGGAAAAATTCCTCCAAACAAAAACATTCTCGTGGTGTGTAAGTTAACTTTTCAGCAAATTCACACTGTGCCCCGTCTAGAGGCTGGTGGGGTAAAGGACCTCACTTGAAGCAATTGCCCATTGGTTTAACATGCAAACGTCCCCGCGGGCACGGTGACCTTACAGCAAATACGGGCGACTAGCTTTTCTTTTTGCGTCTGCTGCTGGACTCACGGCAAAAAAAACAAGTCCGGTGCGCCAGAGGAAAAAGTCACCACACGGCGGACTCAAAGACGCACCAGCTTCCTGCTGCTGTACATACGTATGTGCGACTGGCTGGCCCTCCTAAGGTCACGGCGACGTTCATGTCTACATTTTAATCAAGGGGACGATAAAAAGGTGAGGGGGTTGGGGAGGTGGACACCACCGGCACCGGGGTGGGCAGCCATGAGATATCATGGAGCAGTCGTCATGCCGTGCTTCCGCCAGGCGCAGCGGCCCCATGCCAGCAGCCCACCTCGGGTGCCGGACCGGGCCGGAGCGCCGGTAATGGAGCGGAACAGGCCGTTTGATTTGTAGGTCTGCTGTGCTGCTGGCCGACGCACAGCATGGCCTCGCGCCGGCGTGAGCGCGCACCTGCCGCCCCTGTTGTTCCACCCGCCACGCCACGCCACGCCGCGCGGGGCAGGCAAGGGGCTGGGGCCCCCATGTCGTCGCGTCGCGCGCTCCTGGCCGCGCTGGTCGTGGCCGTGTCCTCTCCCGCCCGCCGGCCGGCCGGCCCCGGCGCGCCCTCCCCTCCTGGGCTGCGGGCCAAAAAGCGCACCTCGGCGTCCTTCCCTCCATGTTTCCTTCCTGCTCCGTCTGCTCCCGCGGCGCGGCGGCGGCGGTGGCCGGGGCAGGACCGCGGAGCAGGGAGCAGGGCGCTCACTACAAGGGCCTGACCCCGACGTCCTCCGGTACGCCGCGGTCCTCCCCGCCGTCGGCCCCACGGGGAGGATGAGGAGCTGCTCGGGCCCCTGCGCCCTATGCAGTCCCGCCGCACACGCGTGCGCTCATTGCCTACCCGGCAGGCGCTCTGACGCGGTCGGTCGCCAACTAAACTAACTGTCACTCACCGGCGCCGCGTCGTTGTCGTTGTTTCAGCAAACGGTCCTGCAGAGCATCACCGACGACGACCCCTCGTTCACCGGCACGGGCTACACCAGCCTGGCCGTCATCTACGCCGTGTTCGCCGTCTGCAACTGGGCCGCGCCCTCCATCATCTCCGTCATCGGACCGCGGGCCGCCATCTGCCTGGGCGCCGTCACCTACGGGTACGTGAGGACACGAGCCGTGAGCTCCCAAACCGAGTACAGGTTTCAGCGTCGCGCGAAAACCGTGTTACTCACTTGAAGTTAAGTAAACGTGCCTCTCTGCCCCCTCAGGTTCTTCATCTCCACGTTCCTGTACCCATCGACATGGCTGCTGTACGTGAGCTCGGCGGTCATCGGCTTCGGGGCGGCCATCATCTGGACGGGGCAGGGCAACTACCTGACGCTCAACTCGACCAAGGAGACCATCTCGCGGAACTCGGGGGTGTTCTGGGCCATGCTGCAGTGCAGCATGTTCTTCGGCAACATTTTCGTTGTGTTCGTGTTCAGCGGCAAGACGCACATCGACGAGGCGACGCGGAAGCTCGTCTTCTCTGTGCTGGTGAGTCGTCGTCGTCGTACTCGGACTCGAGTTCCAACTCTCCATTGCGTTGTTGTTTTAAACGGATCCGTCGGTTGACAGCTCGGTGTCGCGGCGCTGGGGCTGGTCTTCGTGCTGCTCTTGCGGCCCGCCGTCGTCGCCGACCTGAGCGACGA